CAGCAACCTTGAAGTTTTGGGCTCAAGCGATTCTCTTGCCTCAGCCTCCCAAGTAGCTGGTACTACACGTTCTTGCCATAATACCTGGCTATCTTTTTGTTGCATTTGTCATTGTTTAGCTGGCCCCAGCTGGGTTCAAACCTGCCAGCCTTGGTGTATGTGGCCGGCACTGTAGCCACTGTGCTAAGGGCGCTGAGCCCTAGCTACTTTTTTTTTTTTTTCAGACAGAGTTGCACTATGTCACCCAGGGTAGAGTGCCATGGAGTCACAGCTCACAACTTCAAACTCTTGGGCTTAAAAGCCACTGGTTCTCAACCTTGCTAATGCTGCAGCCTTTTAATACAATTCCTATGGGTTGCAACCCACAGGTTGAGAACCACTGGCTTAAGTGATTCCCTTGCCTCAGCCTCCCATGTAGCTGGGACTGCAGGCACCCACCACAATGCCCGGCTATTTTTTTGTTGCAGTTGTCGTTGTTTAGCAGGCCAGGGCTGGGTTTAAACCCAGCCCCAGTGCATGTAGCTAACACCCTAACCTCGGAGCTACAGGCACTGAACCATCTCTTTCTATTAATTTGCTTTGATTACTGGTACAATGGAGTATCTATTCATGTCCATTAGCTATTTAATTTTTATCTTCTGCGATTTGTCCATCTCCTCTCTGCTTACTTTTCTATTACCATTTTCTGGGTTTTTCTTGATCTTTCACATAAGCTCCACATACATCTCCCCTATGTTTTTAATTAGCCACCACCAAGACAATCAGCCTTTTCTTTTTTTCTGGTAGGGACAGAGTTTCACTTTATCGCCCACGGTAGAGTACCGTGGTGTCACACAGCTCACAGCAACCTCCAACTCCTGGGCTTAGGCAATTCTCCTGCCTCAGCCTCCTGAGTAGCTGGGACTACAGGCACTTGCCACAACACCCAGCTATTTTTTTTATTGCAGTTTGGCTGGGGCTGGGGTTGAACCTGCCACCCTTGGTATATTGGGCCACTGCCCTGCCCACTGAGCCACAGGCACCGCCCAAACAATCAGCCTTTCTATAACATTCTTGAGTGTTTACCACTTGCTATATATATAGTCTTTTTAATACATCTGTGAGCCCACCTCTATTTATCAGAATTTTAGATGATCAACTTCAGGTGTTTTCAGGAATAATAATGGAGAGATAATTGACCTAACAAGGAATATCCAATGAGTAAGAAGAGCACAGTAATATTACCATGAATACTTTTGTCTACGTTTTTGATTAGGATAGATTAGAAAGTAGATTTTCTCAACCCAACCCAAAAGGAACAAAGATGGAAGGCTCATGTCCTTAATTATATACACACACACATAAAGAAACAAAAAAAAAATGTTCACACATTAAAGGAAGAAACCGTATTCAAATTCTAATACTCAATACACATTGATAACACAAAACGAATATAAGTCACATTTGAGTACCTACTGTAATCATAGAAGTCAAATGTGACTTGAGTATTACAATTTTTTTTAGTATTATAATTTTAATACAGTTTTTCCCTTTCTTAAAATGTATATACACTTTTGGGGCACCCTCTGTGTGTGCATAGGTATATATATTTCAGTCATGTATAGCTGTTCTTTCATTCCTCCATGACATCAAACATTCTGTTCCCTGCCCAGAATGCCCATTTCCTCTGTCTTTCTGGTTGCCCCCTCTTTCACCTCCTCTGTCTAATCCTCTATCCCTTTTATCTGACAAACATAGTCACACTACTTCGGCTGCTAAATATTAAAGGAAAAAAAAATCATACAATCATATGGTTTCTTAGTTAAGACCCCAGTATGCTAGGCAATTCTCTCACATGCCCTTAGTTCTTTCTTCTACTTGCTTAAGGAGTTACATGGAATCATTTTTTCTCTGCTTAATTCCTTCTGGGCTTTCCCACTTACGATAAAGTAAAACCTCTTTAAGTATGGCACACAGGCTGTATGATTTATCTCCTGTCTACCTATCCAAACGCAGAACTGGTTAGTCATTTACCAAGATGTATACTGAACTATAAATCCAATGTCTTTTCTTAAAATTTTAAAATTATTACTATTTTTGTTGTTGTTATACAGATGGGGTGTCACTGTGTGTGCTGGGTTCAAGTGATCCTCCCATCTCAGCTTTCTGCATAGCTGGGACTATAGGCACATATCATGTAAAGCCCTAACATCTTGTTTCTGAAACCTATCATGCAATTTCAGGGATCTGTCTCTTTTATTGCTATTCTATCTAGAACATTTTCTTCCCACACTCTTTCTCTAGCAAATGTCACTGATCGTTTACAACTCAGCTTAAGAAAATCCTCTTCAGATCGCCTGTAGTCTCAGGTACTTGGGAAGCTGAGGCAAGAGAATCACTTAAGCCCAAGAGTTGGAGGTTGCTGTGAGGTGTGACACCACAGCACTCAACCCAGTGTGACAGTTTGAGACGCTGTAAAAAAAAAAAAAAAAAAAAAAAAAAAAAGGCTGAGTGCCTGTAGCTCAGTGAGTAGGGTACCAGCCACATACACTAAAGGTGGTAGGTTTGAGCCCGGCCTGGGCCAGCTAAACAATGACAACTGCAACCAAAAAAAAAAAAAATGGATGGGCACTGTGGCATGCACCTGTGTTCCCAGCTATTTGGGAGGCTGAGGCAAAAGAATTGCTTGAGCCCAAGAGTTTGAGGTTGCTGTGAGCCATGACACCATGGCACTCTACTGAGGGTGACATAACAAGACTCTGTCACAAATAAAAAAAAAAAGAAAAGAAAATCCTCTTCTAAAAAGATTCCTTTATATCACTCTGATTTAGAGACCCTGTCCTATGACACTAATTAAATACTATAACTCTTCTGTTTTTTCAATTAAACTATAACCACTTTGGGGGTGGGGATTATAATTTATTTTAATTTATATTTGTAGCATCTATAAGTGCCAGCACATACAAGGTATTCAATCAATGCTTGCTTAACAAATGACTCATTCGGGAGGCACCTGTGGCTCAGTGAGTAGGGCGCCGGCCCCATATACCGAGGGTGGCGGGTTCAAACCCAGCCCTGGCCAAACTGCAACAACAAAAAAAATAGTTGGGCATTGTGGCAGGCGCCTGTAGTCCCAGCTACTTGGGAGGCTGAGGCAGAAGAATCGTCTAAGCCCAGGAGTTGGAGGTTGCTGGAGCGACTCCGCTGCACTCTACCGAGGGCGAAAAAGTGAGACTGTGTCTCTACAAAAAAAAAACCAAAAAACAAAAAAAAACAAATGACTCATTCAAAACTGAACTGCAGGCTTGGCACCTGTAACTCAGTGGCTAGGGCACCAGGCACATACACCAAAGCTGGTGGGTTCGAATCCAGCCCAGGCCTGCCAAACAATGACAACTGTGAACAAAAAAAAATAGCCAGGCGTTGTGGTAGGCACCTATAGCCCCAGTTACTTGGGAGGCTGAGGCAAGAGAATTGCTGAAGCCCAAGAGTTTAAGATTGCTGTGAGCTAGGATGTCACAGCATCCTACCGAGGGTGACAAAGTGAGACTCTGTCTCAAAAACAAACAAAAAAGTATTTTAAAAAAACTGAACTGCATTAGCTTGTTTATGAAGGCTTCCTTGACTCTCAGGTTAAAGAGTAAGGAGCCTTGCTCTCCTCTGGTACAGTTTGTACATGTACATCCCTCTATTATAGCCCTGATCAAGCTGTATCGTAACTCTTTCCATCAACTGGATTATGAATTGCTGGAGGATACTGACTGTATCATTAGATTAATTAGCTAGAATAGAGCCTCAATTCATATACTGAGTAATACTCCATGCACTAAGGAAGCTGACAGAGGTCTACAACCATACACTAACTGAAGCTTCCTCTGAGAAGTTTGGGCACAGTTGAGTTTTCACACCTCACAGAAAAGCAAGTGATGGCACAAAGCCCTAAGGAATATCCATTTTATTATTACTCTTACCTAATTTTTCTGTGCTTTCCAATATTTCCAAAAGTAAGCATGTGTTACTTTTTCATCATTAAAAGGTAACAGCATGGGCAGCACCTGTGGGTCAGTGAGTAGGGCACTGGCCCCATATACTGAGGGTGGTGGGTTCAAACCCGACCCCGCCAAACTGCAACAAGAAATAGCTGGGCGTTGTGGCAGGCACCTGTGTCCCAGCTACTTGGGAGGCTGAGGCAAGAGAATTGCTTAAGCCCAAGAGCTGGAGGTTGCTGTGAGCTGTGACGCCACAGCGCCCTACCAAGGGCGACAAAGTTAGACTCCCTCTCTAAAAAATCAAACAAACAAACAAACAAAAGAGGATATGTACCTGCTTACAATAAAAAGCAGACGACGTCACTTGACTTTTCTGCTATCATTGCTCAAGGCTAATTTTTTCTTGAGACAGTCTCAAGCTGTCAACCTGGGTAGAGTGCCATGGCATCACAGCTCACAGCAACCTCAGACTCTTGGGAGTAAGCAATTCTCTTGCTTCAGCCTCCCAAGTAGCTGGGACTACAGTTACCCGCCACAACAGCTAGCTACTTTTTTGTTGTTGCAGTTGTCATTGTTGTTTAGCAGGCTGGGGCCAAGTTCGAACCCACCAGCCCCGGTTTATATGGCCAGTGCCCCCTACCAACCGAGCTACGGGCGTCGCCCAAGGTTGCTAAATGTTAACAATGCTAATAACTGGCTCAGTACCCATAGCATAGTGGTTCCGGCACCAGCCACATATACTGAGGCTAGCAAGTTTGAACCCAGGCCATGCCCGCTAAACAAAGATAACTGCAACAAAAAATAGCAGGGCATTGTGGTAGGCATCTGTAGTCCCAGCTACTCGGGAGGCTGAGGCAAGAGAATTGCGAGAGTCTAGAGTTTGAGGTTGCTATGAGCTGTGACACCATTGCACTCTACCAAGGATGACATAGTGAGATTGTCTCAAAACAAAACAAAACAAAAAAAACAATGGTAATAACTAATGTTGGATAGACAGATTAATGGAAAGGGAGAAAAAAGATAAATACCCACCATTGTACTTAACACTGTTGGCCAGAATAAGGTTTACATCATCTAGAAAGCTCTCTCGACTCTGATACTTGTGCTTCGAAATATTCTGTAATGAAAAGAATCACACACTCAGGTACACATACAAAGTCATTTGATTAGAAAAAGGCATTTTAGATCAAACACTCACCTTCCTTATAGTCTCTAAATCCATTGGATTGACAATCACTTTGTAATAATCTGGAACAAACTTCTTATTAACTGGGTGATGAAATGGCCAAGACTAGTAAAAAGAAGACATGGGAAATGAAATGCAACCACTTTTTTTTTTTTGAGACAGAGCCTCAAGCTATCACCCTGAGTAGAGTGCCGTGGCATCACAGCTTACAGCAACCTCCAACTCCTGGGCTCAAGCAATTCTCCTGCCTCCACCTCCTCCCTAGTATCTGGGATTACAGGTGCCCGCCACAATGCCCAGCTATTTCTTGGTTGCAGCCGTCATTGTTGTTTGGTGGGCCCAGGCTGGATTGGAACCCACCAGCTCAGGTGTTATGTGGCTGGCACCTTAGCCGCTTGAGCCACAGGCACTAAGCCTGGAACCACTCTTTATACCAGAAATTTTCAACCTTTGTTGGATCATGAATATTCCTGACAAAAGATATAGACCTTTTTTCCAGCAAAACACTCTGTATATCCTATGGTGCATATTGCAAGGGTACATGTCAAATCTATTAAGAATATAGTATAAACATCTTAACACAATAATTAAGTGAGGTGAAGGCTATGTTAACCAGTTTGATGTAAGCATTCCAGATTGCATATAAAATTAGCACACTGTGCCCCATACATGCGTACGGTTATGATTTAATAAAAAAAATTTTAAAATAAATATATAAATAAAATTCTGTATATAATTTAAGGAGTTCATGGATTCCTTTAAGGGGTTCTGTGCCTTGATAGGATAAGAACCCTTACTCTATCAACAAAATTAAAATTCCCTATTCCTTACTCCCATTCACAAGTGTCATAGAATAACACACTCAGAAAATATGCCTATAAAAGTGTAAAAGGAAAATTCCTGGGGAAGATCATTACAACAACAAAAAAATGAAACAAAAGAAAATAAACACTTGGTAATTATCAAAGTGTCCTTTGTCTAGAAGCACCTCTAAATAAAATGCTTTTCCCATTAGCTGAACATCCTTTCTCTCCAGAGTTATTCAGGAGTATTCAAATACTGAATGCCAGCAAGCAAGCATTCATTTGATTTCAATGATAATACATTCATACACTCAAAAGGTCAAAATTTTAAATTACATACTAGTCTCAATTAAAATATACCATTACTCAGGCTTTCTGACATAACATATACATGCACAATCTATATTTCTTTTCTTTCTTTCCTCTGTATTATCCTCACAATATTTAGCACAGAGACGACTTACATCTGGAACTGCCATCATTTTCTGGGTGACAATGTTGTCCAGAATGAAAGAAAATGCCACTTGGTCATCATCATCCAGCAAGGGGTTAATAGCTTTCTCTAAGCGAGCCAATTTGTCTTCTTTCTAAAACCAAACAAAGCAAAGCCAAGACAGAGATTTTCCCTCAGGTGTGATCACCATTGAAAACTTAAAGATATAAATTAATGTTTAGTGAATATCAAGCTTGCCCCAAAAAGTTTAACACTGATTTGTCTACGCTACAGTTCCAGACAAAGTATCCAGATAAATAACATTCCAATAAAAGGGACAGAAATGACATGTCAACAACTTCTTTTGATATTCTATATTCTATTCTTTTTTTTTTTTTGAGACAGAGTCTCTCTCTGTTGCCTGGGCTAGAGTGCAGTGACATCATCATAGTTCACTATAACCTCAAACTTCTGGGTTCAATCAATCCTCCTGCCTCAATCTCCCAAGTACCTAGAACTATGGATGGCATGCCAGATTGTCCAGCTCATTTTTCTATTTTTGGTAGAGGTGAGCTGGGGGTGGTGGGTAGGGATAAGTAGAGCTCTTGTTCAGGCCAGTCTTGAACTTGTGACCTCAAGTAATCCTCCTGCCCCAGCCTCCCTGAGTGCTAGGATTATAGGCATGAGCCACTGCATGTGGTGTTTTTGTTTTTTCCTTTTTTTTTTTAGAGACAGACTCTTACTCTGTTGCCCAAGGCTGGCAAAAGGGTGCAATCACAGCTAACTGTAATCTCAAACTGCTGGGTTCAAGTGATCCTCCCACCTCAACCAGGGTCCTAAGTAGCTGGGACTGCAGGCATTTGCAACCACACCTGGCTAATTTTTCTGTAGGGACGTGGTCTTGCACTCCTGGTCTTAAGCAACCCTCCCTCAATGCTAGTATTATAAGCATGAGCCATCACATATGGCCCTCTCTACATGTCATTTTTCTGGATCATCAAAAATATATATCCCTGGGGCAGCACTTGTGGCTCTGTGAGTAGGGTGCCGGCCCTATATACTGAGGGTGGTGGGTTCAAACCTGGCCCTGGCCAAATTGCAACAACAAAAAAAAAAAGCTGGGCATTGTGGTGGGTACCTATGGTCCCAGCTACTTGGGAGGCTGAGGAAAGAGAATCA